CAAACGATAATACACTTTATTATTGCATCTACCACGATGAATAACAACAACCTTTTCCTCATGGTCGATGCTGATAATGTCGCTTATGGCCTAGAATTCTTATTATATTTGATGAAAGACGGCCAAGAGGCTTAAAAGAAAAGTGTTAGTTGGCATTCGCTAGTTAAGGGTGAGGGAAGCAAGAATATATTTCAGTGCCAGTTGTGGGTTGTTATGCAGAGACACATTGGGTGCTGAAAAGTAGTTACTGACATGAAAGAACACACCTTTGAAAAATCTGCAGTTGCTTGTGAAGTAACGTTTTTGTATTGAATTAGCTACACGAATTCACCGCTAGCCATCTTCACATTTAGAAAATGTTATCGTCACCTATTACAATTAATTGTTCGCTTCTGTGATTTTTCTTCACACTTTCATAGAGCCCAGTGCTGCACCAAACATAACGAAACTTCTCAACACTAGTTCAACTAGTCTGCTTGTGACCTGGCTTCACAATATTCCACCTGAACATTACAATGGTATATTTCTTGGTTACCGGGTAAGATGGACTGAGGAACCACATACTAATGATTTAGGATCCATGGAGTTTGGAACTGAAGTAAACAGCTACAATATAATAGACTTGAAAAGATATCAGTCTTACAGAGTTTACGTGGCTGGACGCTCCCATGGTGGAGTTGGAGTTGAAAATTACGAAGAAGCCATGACAGATGAAGACGGTAAGTAAAAATGAAAAATTTGGGGAGCTTCTACTTGTGCATCTTCAAAAATTTCGCCTAAAACTTTCAAGTTCGTCGTTTTATCTTGCTCATCATTGAGGAAGACTGTTTTGCCGAATGAACAATTTTAGTTTCAAAACAATATCATATTACGAAAATTCATTTCATGTCAACTCTACCAAAGGATCTAATTATAGCATTGTTATGGAGGCTTTCTCCTCAAGGTCAATAACCCAATTTATTATATGGCTAGCTCCGTGAGCGGGCAAGATGAATCAAATCCTGCGCTGTGATTGGCTACCCGAGCGGGCAAGATGGANTGGACCTCGACTCCGTCTCGGTCCATAAACACGCGAAAAAAGAACTTGGCCAATATCCAGCCATCTTGACCTCACACTTGGTCAATAACCCATACAACGAGTTTAAAGTATCTGCATTTTCCCCTTTAGTTCCTACAAAAGGTCCTACAAAACTGATTGTCCATGCAACTGGTAGTTCGAGCTTACGGGCAGAATGGGGAGTGGTTCCGTTGTGCTGTAGATATGGGATTATTAGAGGATACCAAGTTCTCCTTCTAGACCACGAGAGTAGAGAAGTTGTAACGAACGTGGCTGTTAGTGAATCCACACTATCGTTTGAGTTTCACAGTCTGCTGACTTTTTATGCTTATGACGTATCAGTGGCTGCCTTCACTATAAAAGGAAGTGGTGTTGCTTCTGAAAATGGAACTGTAACGGGTGAAGCAGGTATGTTAATAAGCCTTAGCACTTATTGATCGCGTGGCCTGTGATCCTTAGACGATGAGCTCAACTTTTGATAACAATGCCAGAAATCCAAAGGGCGTGGTCACTTGCTTCAAAGCTTTGAGGTTTGACGGAAATAAAAACTTTTTGAAAATCGTGCACTCAACGACAGTGACCGCAAATGTGGCGTTCGTCAAATGTTGTACTCTTTCTTTTCCTATCAGTTAAGAGAATCATAAAGCTCCAGCATTAGCACACAATTTTGATAACAGTCAACCCCTCCCCCTCCGGCAAATAATCTCTTAGAATTTAGAGCTCCTTCCGATGACAACCCATGTTTCACTCACATAACAGTCATTATTTTAGAAGCTCCAAGTGCAATGCTTATATGTACATGTATTGTATCTCGCTGGAGTATGCTTACAGACTTGAGATGTCTATTTGGCAGACATAAGTGTTTTCCTTTTTCTGTTTCATATCGTCACGTGTATAGAAATTCATTATGCGGTTCCCTAGTATGTATTTTGTTAAAGAGTCTTTTTAAATTGTTTTTTATCACAGCACCTGCCAACCCTCCCATTGTCTCAGGGCAGTCTCACGATTCCACCTCTGTTTCTGTCGAGTGGACATTCGATAAATCCACCAGAAATGTGTTAGGCGTTCTGCAAGGATTTCACATTTACTACGTTAGACAGGACGGTAGAGGCTTTCCTTTGGTCACAACAGGCGCGGATGAATCGTCGTTAAGGCTGATTGATCTCAAACCGTATACTGAGTACAATGTGACAGTGGGCGCCTTTACAATGGCAGGTGAAACGAATAGCAGTAGTGTTGTCGTCCGCACTCAACAAGATGGTAAGGCAAAATTTCACATAGTTTAATTCAACAACGAAGTTGATTAGAAGTAAACTTTACCCATGCACTATTTATTGTAATCGTATTGTTAAGT